GGATTATTAACAAAGGTCGTGTACTCAGACCAGTAATATTTGGGGTCACAAGTTTTTGCCATGAATATTTTCTAGGTCAGAAGATAAAAAGTTTGGGAACCACTGGTTTAGCTGATGTCAGTCGCTAACATTTACACAACAGTTTTACAGTGTAAGCAGATGTGCGAATGAGTAAAAATAAGGGTTGGAAGAAGAGGATGGTGTGTGTGTGTGTGTGTGTGNGTGTGTGTGTGTGTGTGTGTGTGTGTGTGTGTGTGTGTGTGTGTGTGTGTGTGCAGTTGCTGAGCATGTTCTTGTCAGAAGCTGAGACCCATCGTGTCTATCAACAGTCATGTTTGTGTGGCTGCAGAGGAACAACTGTGTTACTGTTCCAGAATAAACCCTGTCCTCCCAGTCCTCTTCCCTTGTGGGTTGCGCTTGACTTCCACCGTTTTCACAGCTGCTCTCAGCAGTGCACTCCATTACACCTTAAATCACTTAAAAGATCGGAAGCACCAAAAATAAATAAATAAATAAAAAAGTCCCTCTGCAACTAATTCACCCTGACCAAGTGGATCATCTGGCAGAAAATAAGAGTGTGAAAACACTGAAAGTCTCACATTCTATAGGCTAATAAAGAGCGATGCTATCTTTAAATTAGAATCTGCTCCTGCCTCAAATAGGCCCGGCGTTAAATCATGTCGCAAAACGATACTTTAGCACAGTTTTCAAAAGATGCTGCTGAAGCAAAACACCACAGATAATAATCTCTCATTCTGCAGCCAGTCAACCACTTCTTGAAAATGGGCGCAGATCCGTTCCGACTGAGGCGCATTCCTCTTTGTTGGGTATCCAAAAGCAGCCACAGAGATTAGGCTCGATAAATAGGGAGGGATAAGTGGGTCTTGTCCTGTGTTTGGTGGCACAGAGCAGAAGACACACAGAGGCATGACACGCAGCTGCACAGAGCTATTGATTCTCCACTGGTCTCCAGGCACCCTTCTCCTTCATTCAGGCTGCCTGCCAAGTGCCTCAGAACAGGAGCCCCAGCTCTCCCAATGTCTGCACGTCTGCTTAAGCACAATCAATGGGCCATCAGCAGGGGAGAATGCCCGCCACTGTCTTTACTTCCACATGGGAAATTGAAAATATGCTTTAGTAGAGAGGCACCGTGATACCATGCAGGCATAAAGCATCATTGACCATCAGAGCAAAATCAAATGCTGTGCCTTAAAGCACATGGTTTCAGCCATTAGCTCCTCCTGCTACTCTTTGGGGATCTTATTTGCCTCTAAATGAAAACGCAGAAGTATTTGTCAGAGACAGATTAATGTATTTCTTTTTTTTAAACAAGCCTTTGTTACCTCTGATTGGATGAGTTTCCAAAGGTTACAGCAGAGCAGTGCAACAAATGCAGCTCCTCGCTCCACGACAAGTAGCTCTACAGGTTAAGTGAAATATGATTTTCCAAAAGCAAAACCTTGGGACAATGATGGATGATGAGAGCGGGGTGATTCTGCTTGTCAGTGATCGGTATTCAGCCTCTCCACCGGTGGTCCACTATGCAGCATTCTGCACCACTGGAAGGCTCGAGTTCATGTTGCAGATCTGTCAGCCCGCTGTCACGGCTCACAATGGAGAGACAGAGACGTCCCCATTACCAAGGACATTTCAGTTGCGTTCTTGCACACAAAACATCTTTTTCAAATCCATCTTGAGCAACACACAAAAAAAGGGGGGGAGGTGGAGAACTCAGAGCCTGGAAGCAGCAAATATCTTTGCCGCTTCCCAACGATAAATAGCATAGCCTCTATCATCTATCTTACATCTTTGAATCCAAATGGAAAAGCGTGTCCACGCACTCGAGATGGCAGCTCTGAACTGTGCATATTGTTAATTGCCTGGTCACTTCCAGGATGAGTTGTGGCTCAACCGGCATTAAAGACTCGCATGTGCCATTAGGAGGACAGAAAGTCAGCTAAGTCAGTGTCACAGAGAGAAGCTGGCATGAACACCTTTAATAACAGCAGAGATTATTATTATTATAATAATAAAAACTCCACATGCCGCCTGCAGAGCTGAGGGAGCTGAGCTGCGTCAATGCAGCTGTGAAGGCTGAGAAAAAAAGGATGCTGTTTGCGCTGTGAAGATCAGTTAGAGCAAAAAAAAGGGGGAGAAAATACAATCCCCCCACAAAAAAGAAAAATATTACAATCACCGTATTTTCCACTATGAAGAACACATCTTTGTGCACCTACACACCTGCAGACAATCATCAGGAAAAGGTGTGCGCTCGCATCCGCTGGCAGTTTGTTTTGCATGTTTGATTTGTGACGTTAACGCCTTTGAAATGCAAACATTATCTCAACAAGACCTCGTTTCTATGTTTCATCATCATCATCATCATCATCATCATCATCATCACCATCATCATCACCATCATCATCATCATCATCATCATCATCATCATCACCATCATCATCATCATCATCATATCTGGGGTGGTGGGGGGGTAAGACTAACACAGGCTGAGGGGCTGCGGATTTACTGTTGCAGCAGTGAGTGATAAGAAAACCATCAGCCTACAGGTTCCTGCACAGAACAACTAACACGATTCCATTTCTCAAGGCAAATATTCTCAGTAGCAAAAAGTTTCCATCATCTTAGCTAACATTTCGTTCTGTAGGGCTGCGCCCAAGTCAATAACGGTGATTATAGCCTAATATTAGTCGTAATAATAACACTAATAAACCCACGTTTGAGCTGCAGAGCGGTGGAGTGCGCTCATCAATTAACGTGATCTAATCGTCTTAACGGTGTTTAATTATCTTTTGCTGCATCAGCAGCACACGCTGAGCAGCTGATGTTGGGAATAAAATGAACGGTTGAATGTTTACTGTACCTCCCTGAAAGGAAAAATTAAAAAGGAGGTGATGAATGAGAAGCAGACAGGAGGAGGAGGGGCAGGGTGAGGAGGAAGAGTGATGTGGGTTCAGTTTATGGGCCGCACCTTGCATCACTCTCACCTGTACATGCAGCAGTGTTGGTCAGTAATGAGCCGTTCTTTGTTCAGTTACAAAAGAGTTTTGGGTATTTATTTATTTATTTATTTATTTATTTATTTATTTATTTATTTATACTGAGAGACCCTGAAATGTTCATTGTGTTCAACTTTACAAACGATCCACAAAAAAAAAAAAAAGCCCTTGGAAACGTTCAGGGACGAGGCTTGACCTTCAGCACAATAATGGGTGCCACTGAGGCTCATTGATGCTCACGGATCGCTTCTGCTGTGCTCTGATTGGCCGAGAGGAGCTCAAGGCTGTTAATGCGCACCCAGTGAATGCACACCTGTAGGAGTGGGTCAATCACAGGGGTTCCATGAAGAAAAGGGACACGGGGCCAACTTTAAAATGTGCTTTCACGCTTGCCAGACATTCTTGTCTGTTAGCAAAATATCTCATGAACTACTGCACGGATCTAAACGAAACTCTCAGAAGGTAATTGTTAAGTTTATCGCTACAACTGAATCACATTTTGGAGTCAAGTTGATTCAAGATGGTCGTTACAACTAATTAATATTAAGCAAATAAAAAAGTGATCTAATAAATTTGACAGGCACTGAGCTAGAATTGGGTGATAATAACTAAACATTGCGCACTAAACATATTTTAATCTTTGCTCAAGACCTTGACAGTAACTTCTGTCTGTTAGAAAAATTTCTCAAAAACATCCTGAGGTATTTTAATGAAACTCTTGGGATGCAGTCAATAGATTTACAGCACATCTGATAGACAGTTGGAGTGAACCCAAGTCAAGATGGCCAGGTAATCCAGCCTTGCAAATTCAAAAATGGCCGTAACTCAGTCGATGCTGAAGGTATTGAGGTGACATATAGCAGAGAGTCACCCCAAAACAAACTCCACATGGTTGCGCAACATCTTTATAAAACTTTTGCACACAACGTGGTGGCTGTCTGATATAGATAAAGGTTTGTCCTGTATGTGCTGTTTTAAGAAATGCTAGCTTGGCTATGAGGAGAAAAGAGCTGAGTCATGATTTTCATACTAACTGTAAATCAGGGTTACTCAACGTGTGGCCCAGGGTCCACGTCCAGCACGAAGGTGAGCTCAGTCTGGACCAGCGATGAGTTCATTTGAAGTAAAACTAGATTTTAAATTTCGGGATGAAAAAATCTGTACAAGAAACATTTAAAGAATCTAAAATGACAAATATTGTTTGTTTGCAGAGGGGCGATCCTGTCAAATCGACACGTTCTTACTCTCTATTTGTCATATACGCACTGCAAAACTTGTTCATCTAACAGCCTTTTTTATCTTATATCAAGACAAAAAGTGTTTTTGATCTTGTTTTGAGATTTATAAGTTAAGCAAAAACAGAATGTCTTTATTATCATCTTGTTAGCCTGGAAATTGTCCCTATTTCAAGAATCTTATTAAGTGCAATAATCGTATTGCAGATGGACGGATTATTTTACTTAATTTGACATTTTTGAGAAGATTCACAAATTAAGTGAAATAATCTATCTATGGAATAAGATTTTTGTACTTGGTAAGATTCTTAAAATGGAGAAATTTAGGTGAAATTTACATAAATAACTGCCAAATGTTCGTCCCCTGAGCTGCTGATGCTTTTCTATAACTGTGAAACCCTGAGCCATTTAGGTAAATATCTTTAAAGTTTAAAAACGTAGGCCATGTTTCAAAATCCTTAACTCTCATGCTGAAGTATTTTTAATGCCTATATATATGACAGCTTAATAAAACTCCTATAATTCTGTTATGTCTTTTGGTTTTGGTGTGCCGCCTCAAGATTAACAGCAGCCCCCATCTGGCCCCCTATTTAAAACGTCTTGGGGGCACCCCTGGTCCGTCAGGAAGAAAATAATGCATCATGAAGATTGAACTTTTATCACATGCAGGATGCTCTAGGAGATATAAGAGGTGAGTGATAAATTGCAACTGCTTTGAGGCTTTTTTTGGGATCATGCAGCCACCTACCCCAGGGTTGTCATGGTGACGATGGTGTACCAAAACGCTGCGGGGATGCTGGTGAACTTGGTGGCCGAGGAGCCCTTCTCTGCGTAAAACATGACCGTGGCGAAGATGATGATGGCCATGGTGAGGGAGAAGAGCAGGAAGCCCAGCTCGGAGGCGCAGCTCTTCAAGGTGTAGCCCAGGATGCGCAGCCCCGCCGAGTGCCGGGAGAACTTGAAAATCCGAAAGACCCGGAAGACTCTGAGCGTGACGAAAGCGCCGCTCACCTGGTCGTTGTCGGTCATCACCAGGCCGATGTAGTAAGGCATGATGGCCACCACGTCGATGACGCTCATCACGCTCTTCATGAACTTGCAGCGGCTGGGCGCAGCGATCAGACGCAGCAGGTACTCGACCGTGAAGATCATGACGCACGCCGTGTCCAGGCAGAAGAAGGCCAGCGCGTAACGGTCCCCGCACGAGACCTCCTTGGACCTGTTGGGCAGCGTGCCGCACGGCACCGTCTCCACCACGTTGGCCATCACCGAGATGGCGATGAAGAATCCCGTCACGTAGTAGAAGACCAGCGCCAAGGTGCTGGTGTGCGGGTTCTCAAACGCCCGCCACAGGTACTCCCGGAACGTCAGGTTCACCGGCGTCACGTCGTTGCTCATGTCCATCTCCTCGTCGTCCTGGAGCCGCTCGGCGTTCTCGCGCCTCCGGTCCTTGTACTCCTCGTAGCAGCAGTCCCCGATGATCTCGGGGATGATGCCGAAGAAGGCGAGCTCCTCGTCGTACGCGGAGATGCACTCCTGGCGCGGGTAGTGCAGCTTCCCCGTGCGGTAGAAATTCAGTATGTGCCTGAAGATGTCGGGGTCACGGTCGAAGAAGTACTCGTTGGTCTCCTCGTGGAAGAAGAAGTCCCGCTCCGTGCTGCCGAGCAGGGTGTCCGGGTACCTCTCCAGCGTGGTCCGCCACGTCTGGAACTTGGTGCCGCTCACGTTGAGGATGATGAGTCCGTCCTGGGCTTTCCTCTTGTCCTGGGGAGGGATCGGCATAGGGGTGCTCGCCACGGGCATCCATCCGATGGCCGCCGCGCGGGCGAAGGGAAGCCACGCCGCTACACCTGCTGCCATGCTGACCTGTAGTGTTCTTTTGCTTCTCCGCGCGTTTTCACAGTGCTACGGTTCGGGGATCAGTTGCATGCAGGCAGGAGGAAAAAAAAAGAAGAAGGGGGAAAAAAAAGCCCCAAGTGATGATGATTGAAGCGCCTCAGTTTCACAGAATGCGTCCAAAAGCAGAAGCGTAAATTGCGCATCGCCTTTTCCCCAACTGTTCAGTTATGGGAGCCTACTGTGCGGCAGAATACAAATTAAATAAAAAAAAATCAACATTAAGCAGCATTAAAATAAAACAACGACCCACCTTAAAGAATTCCAATCATTATCCACCATGAGTTCAATCTAATTCTCGGAGGAGAATACTTCCACCAGCCATTTATCACTCACTGCAGCCAGACAAGAAGAAGAGGAAGAAAAGAAAAAAAAATAACGATGCATCAACAAGTTAAACAATTCACTCTCGACAAAGAGAGGGGGGCTCAGAAATCCGATTCTTCCTTTCTTCCTCTCCTTCTTCCTCTCCTCTCTGCAGGGTCTCATGTGAAAAGCTTTACCCCCCACCACCACCTCTCCTCGCTCCCTCTTCTCGTTGCAGCTACTCCTCAATAAACTCCAGTTCTCCTCGTCGACTGCAAGACCAACCCCCCCCCCTCCCCACACCCTCCCCACTCAGTTTCTCACCGCCAAGCTGCCGAGAAGAGAGAAAATCGCATGCAGAGGAACAGAAACGAGAGAGAGAGAGCGCGCGAAAGAAAGGGAGAGAGGAGTGGTCCTGTTTCCTGCACCTAGAGATTCCTCTGCTGCTTCACTGTGTGGGCAACTATTTACTGGTGGGCTTTAAGTAGGCGGGATCTTCCCAAAACCTGTTTCCCCCCAACATGGATCAACTGTACACCATTTGGGATTTAGCATCATTTGTACCAAAGAAGAGTTGGACCTCCAGCCTTTCTTTGTTTGCAAAACATAAAAAATGAAACTAACAAATTCCTATCTGCCTCCAAATTATGATCGATATGGTTTCCTGAGCTGCATTGTTCTGTAATAGCATTGAGCAGCTTTCAAAGGTCAACATCATCGGGTTTCACCACCATACTGACATTTTCCCAAATAACTATAATCGATGAAAAGGTGTATACAGGTTGAAAACATCTGCAGCTTCAGCTCCAGGTTTTTAATGGTTTCAGCACCATGGACAGCGGCAGAGCTTTCAACGCTGCAACAACAGTCTGTCATGGTGGGGGGAGGAAAAAAAAAGAGAAAACATGTCCTCTTTTAATTCAAGAATTTTAGTTATTAAGACACCGTAAAAATGATCTGCAGGCTTCCAAAAATATTTTAATCAAATCTCAACTGTACAGAAACGCACAACAGATTCCACCGTGTCACCATGAGCAGCCATTTATTAAAAGTGCTCGTGGCAAAGCAAACGTGAAAAGGGTGTTCCTGAACTTTAGCTGATGGTGCTGTTTGAAGGAGTTTCATTTTCCGTGATGTGCATTTCTGAAATACAAGTATGCATACAATGTGAATAAAGCACTTTAATCTTCATTCTTTACTCAAACAAGTCTAAAGTTAGCACAAAAATAAGGATTGTGTTTTATAGATCATTTCTTTGTTGTAACAACGTTTCTTTGCAGTAAATCTTGTACCATTGGAAAGCCTGTCAATTTCCCTGCCACATTTGCAAGGGACATGCATTTGTGGGATGAGCAGTAGAACTGAGTATGTTGGTTGTGCACATGAAAATATTGTCAAAGCTTCTTTGCTTAACAACTTTTTGTTGGTGTTGTTGTTGTTGACACTTGTTTTGAGTTTCTGGTACAACCAGGTCCTGCCCAGGTGTTCAGTTTAAGAAGCATTGTTGCAACAAATCTACCAAACACACATTTCCTCACTTTTTGTGCAAAGTAAATATGCAAACCATTAGAACTGTTAGACTTTTCCTCAAACAGCTCAATGATGGCACAAACTATTGTTGACTTTTTTCAGTCACTTTGGCTGTTTTTGTGAGGCCCTGTCACATTATAATGTTTTAGACAACTTATGAGAACGTTGTCCCACAATGAAGATGTCTAGGTTGAAGATCAAATTTTAAAATATGAAAGACAAAAAAATTGATTTTTTTTCCAGATACTTCAGTTTCCTCTTGCAGACCAGAATCATGACTGTCAGGCTAATTGGTAACTCTCAACTGTCTTTAGGTGTGAATGGTTGTTTGTCTTGCTTGTCTATGTGTCCTTTGATGGACTTGCAGCCCATCCAGGGTGTACCCTGCTCCTCACACAGTGATTGCTGGATATGGGCACTGATGACCCTGAAAGGAAGAAGCAGGTAAAAGATTATGGATGGCATATGTTGTGTAAAACATTATAATGTGACAGGACCTGTAAACAAGCAGACAATTATTATT